TAAACGCACTTACGAATTTTAGGGTGAAAAAAAAAACTTTCAATATATAATAACTGACTTTAATCTGCTAATCTATAGGAGGTATTCGAAATGAAGTCGTTGATAGAAATTTATTATTTGACAGTTGAGTTTAATAAAAAGAACTATCGTAAATTATGAACTAGCCACTCCTTAATGCATAAAAGGCTACGCGCGCCCTTCGTGTATTCGCCTAAGATGACGCTGTTCCCGAATACTTCATGTAATGGATAAAACTTTCGCACTTGGCTTTGTGTGTTTCCCTATCAATTTTAATAATTTGGGAAGTATTCTAAGTATATCTTATTAAGAGTATTTAAATAACACCAAAAAACCCATTTTAACGTATACCATATTGTTCCCTGCTTAATAACTGCTATTGCTCGTTACCATAAATATGGTTTTAGTAAATATTAGAGCAGCATGGAGTGCAAATACACATAAACGCATAGACGCGGGCGCGCACACATACACAAAGAACGTGCACTTACATTTCGAACATATACTGCTTTACTGTATATGTTAAGTACATTACGATTGTTCTCTTCATGACAATGTCATGAAAATGTCTTTCAAAGACTTGTCTCTAGCGTTATTGCTGGTTTTCTATAACGATAAAATTCCATATAATTCAGTCTCAAAAACATTTCATGGTACGATTTTTTGTTACTGAAGAATGGAATACGAGAAAAACAATAGTAAAAGTCACGTCTGTTGGTATGGTTGTCGTTGTTGTTGTTTCTTTTTTGTTTTTTTATTTTTTTCTAAAGAAAGTCTTTTTTGTTGTTAGATTTATATATTTTTATATATTATATATACATACAAATACACACACACATATAGTGAAAATCCGAGCAGAGAAAAAACTGCATAAACTCGGTCTCAAGTGTAGTTATTATAGTTGAATTGTATACAATTTTTAGTAAAATATTTGCGGTTGAGTTATTATTATGATGGTTTGTTTTTTTTGTTTTGTTTTTTTTTTCTCTTTTTTTTCTCTTTTTTATATTTTCTTTACTTCTTCGTTAAGTAAAACTTAAGAAGAAGATAGCATGAAGAAATTCTCTGTAATTCTTGGTACGGTGCATTATGCCAGATAGGCGAAGATGTGCATTGAGCGGAAAAGGGGAATTATATAAAACATATTAGAAACTTCAAGTGCTTGTTATAATAGTTTGGGAATTGCATTATAATCATGTCGCCAAGCTTTGTTATTATTAGTTGTCAATTCACGTTGATAGAAGAAGAAGAAGCAGAAGAAGAAGAAGACGAAGAAGAAAATAGTTTCAAACTTTGATTTTATTAACGAAAAATATACACATGTATATATATATATATATATATATATATATATATAATATAATAAAAAAAATGTTATTTTTTTAATGCACTTTTTATCATTTATTTTTATTTAATAATGAGCTGACACTTGCGTGATAATTTAGCAGATGAACTCAAAGTTTTCGTATTGCCTTTCTTCGAAAATAATAAAATTTCTATTCTCTTTTTAACAAAAGAGAAATCAAATCGATTCGGATTGAATGCGAGTGAATGTTTGTCCGTTACATGCGAATATTTATTCATAATAACTAAATAAAATTACATTGCTTCGCAGAGAGGGCTCTTGTTTTATTCATAATCTTGAAAATTGAAGTTTCAAACAAAGACTTTTTATCCCAGCAATGGATTTTATTGGCTTAATAGGTGCGTTTTTATGGTCTCGATTATATTGAAAAAAAAAAAAAGAAAAAAGAAAACTATTTTCTGAAAGAAACTTTTTGGTTTAAATTTCGAAATCTTCGCCAAGCGCTCTCAAAAGACTGTCACTGTCCACACACAATGAATCCCTACTGTGAAGGACATACGTGTTGATTTCTAACTTCTCTAATACACTAGCAGTTTCGAAATAAGGACGACAGCGATTCCAAAGTCAGATGAACGTCTAGATGTCACTGCGTTTGCATTGAAATTAAAACTGTCAATTGGCATTAATTATTAATTCGTCTAAAGGATTGGACACTTTTTGCCCCTTAATGTGTCATCGTCTTGCTGTTTGTAAACTGGAAAACATGCGATTCCATCTTTGACACGTACAGCAAAAGCAAATAAATTTTCGAAGATACAGAATGGAGAAGAATATTTAAGCATGACAGGACATTGTTATGGTCCTGGGATTGCACGTTAAGACTTAAATACGTAGTGATGTAGATCTTCATTGCATGTTTAAAACATCACATCTCTTTATGAAGCAACCTTTGTTTATCGTTTTTTTTTTTCTTTTAGTAAACCTATATTACGGTTTCCTTACGCAACTAGAATCCTTCGGCAATTTATTTGATTTTATCTGTAACAATTTTCATTGTTAATGGCCTATCTGAGTACAACTTCACATCGGCGGGTATTTCGAATTACGATTATTTGAAAGGAAAACACAGTTGTTTTGTCAGGTGGAACAGAAATACATCAGTAGGCAAAATCGGTTCGACTTGAAATCATTCCAGTTATTTTGTGACACATTTATTATTATTTTAATAATTTTTTTAGTCTTTTTTATGTAACTATGTTACCGTTTAAATAATTATACAATTACAATGTGGCTGAATAGTGTTCCTGCTAATTTCACACGAGCTGATCTTTCTTTATATATTATGAAAAAAATTTGCCAAGAAATCATCCAAATAACGACTGCTCATGAAGGACCACATCTCTAATAGACCATCTAAGTGAAAGATTTTCGTCCATTCTCAAAGATCAACAGTGACAGTTACTTTGTTGTCTACTTACATTGGTTCGTGGCCTATACACAATATCTGTCGAGCTATGATAAGCGACCAAAGCAAAAGATCGATATCTCTTGTTCAAAAATATTGCAAGAGAGAGGAGTGCATTTGATGGGTACTTACCTACACCACCCCTAAAGGTACATTTCCCTATTCTTTCATCTCGTGGACCTTGTCGTAATAAATTCATGGAATTCCATTGGAAAGGGTTTCGCAAATTAAAACACTTCGGCCTGGTAATGATTTATTGGAGCGAAGTTTACAGGCGAAAAAGCAAAGAGGCGCTTATGACGTTGGCCACTGGCTTTTTTTGGCAAACAGATATCAAAAATGCTATGATGAAAATTAAAGAAAAACTCTCATGTGGTTATTTCTGTATTATGATTCCCATTAACTACACGCGTATTCCGAATGATTTCAAATTTTTCGCTTACTAAAAATTCATGCATCTAAGCGTTAAGCAGCTAAGTGTGCACACACTCTCTAAAATATACTATTGTTGGAAATCAACATTCATATCAATCACATTTGATTAGAAAAGCTGACAAGGATGGATGGACGGATCATGGCATATATGCTTGTCATAACGCAAAACTGAAATTAAATAAAAATGTGCATATAATATATTCCAATAAACAAACATATTGTCTTAACAAATTTCAAAACTTAAACCAGGTTCTTCGCAAAGCACGTCCCATGAAAAACATCTTACACAAAATTTTTCTTCTCATTTGAATTTTTTACCACATTTTCCTTATAATCCTACAATGAATGCTTTTTTAATAATTCATTAATTTCCTATAGGCTATACCACTTGTGATACAAAGGTATGTTGTGTTTGTTCGGCTGTATGCAACATCGAAAAGGATTTGAGGTAGACTCCCCAATTCTTGTTATACCCATCAACGCGGGATCAATTTCTGAACTGAACTAAGCTTGTCCCTCCGTCTGTCCACCTGCCAATTTGTCCGTCTGTCTGTCCATACATGTAATCTCCTTGTGTTGCTACAAGCTATATGAATGCTTTACAATGCAGACGAAAATGTAGCTCTGTCTGCCAGCGCTTTATATAACACAAGTACGATGGGGAATTTCCAGCTTAAAGTATAGCCTAACACACGGAAGTCAGCACTCGGGCTTTATTTTTGAATAGTTGCAATTTTACCTCTGCAGGATAAGGCACATTTACGAGTTCATTTTATTTCGGTGTTTCATGCTTAACTGATTTAAGAGAATTCGTTTCTCGTAAGCTCTTTTCCCCTTACTCGCTCACAATTTTATCTGCCATTGAAATCTGCTGTAGCTTCATGTTTCTTGATATTCAAAGTTCTCTCTGCAACATAAATAAATAAGTTATTACTTCACATAGGGTATCGATAGTGGGTCTTAATAAATGTCATCTTTTAGTACTTCGATATCATGTTTGGGGCATTGCATCTGTAAACTAAGGGCAGGTAGATAGCTTTTGATTCACCACATTATTAGGGAAAAACGCTTCATGTCCAGACTTAGATGCTTAGGCAGCCAAGTCTTATATGCCTTCCCGTTACGTTGGTGGATATACCAATTCAAGGCTACACCATAAGGCACATATCAGATGTGCTTCGAGGATTGAAAAAAGCACTGATACAGGCGGGGGGGGATTACTTTGAAGGGGATAAAATAGACATTGATGAATAAATAAAAATAAATATTTTTCGAAAAAAATGAAAAGTTGCTTTTCGTTGAACAACCGCGTAGCGGGTGCAAGAGGAAGGTCCATTTCTTTTAACATAAATACAATCAGCTTCATAAAATTTGATTTCTTCAATGCACGTATAACATATACATTTACATCTGCTTTTAAAATTTATTAAAAAAATTACACGTTCAACTGGAAAGTACTTTGTTTAATAACAGTTATATATGTTTGTGTTCTTTTATGTGCAATTCTTTTCTTAAAGCTTTGCACTGGTCTATTTTAAATTCATACCCTTTCGCTGGCAAGTACGGCATGTATGTGTGTTGCTTAAATAATGTAATATATAATGTGTAGTGCTTGTACAAGTTCAATCTTTTTCTGATGGCGATAATAACTACGTTGATGTTGATGTCGATGTTGATATTGCTGATGATGATGCCGATGCCGATGCCGATGCCGATGACTTGTGTTATGTTATGTTATAGAACTAAGAGATAAAGAGTTTTATTTACTTTACTTACATCAACATTGATGCCGGGCAATGGGAACGCCTGTCCCGGTGGCTTATTTCGTGGCACATAACGATAAAATTCATGACCATCTTTATACCATTTCACCGAATATAAAGATTCGCCATCGAGATTGTAACGGCAACCAAGTATAGCGCTCTTAAAACGCATTATATGATTGGGTATTTTTACCTCAGTCATGGTTAGTGAATTGGTTATATCTGCAATAATAATAATAAAAGGAAAAAAACACATATAAATGTAGTAGTAGTAGTAGTAGTAGTAGTAGCAGTAGTAGTTAAGTAAAAGCAGAAATTTTCTATTAAATTGAAAAACCCAAGTATTTGCTAATAATACATAAATATAAAAATTATTTTAAGCATTTGAGAATCGCACAAACTACACTATGCTCCTCAGTTTTACGATATTATTATCAAGGAATTAAGTGTTGTTTTTGGGGTAATGAATTCAATGTTTGTATGCTTTTACATCGAACTCAAACGCAAATGTTTAAATAAATTCACTCACACAATACCCCAGTACTTCTGATGTTGATGTTTATTAGAACAACAAAGAAATAAATAAACTACAGTTGGAGTTTGTAATATTTTTTCAAAATAAATTGAAAGAACAAGAAATGGATTGTATACGACATGACCGCTTTGGCATTGATACTACAATACAATCATCATTATTACTATGCTATAACACGAACATGGGACATGAGATAGATTTATCTTTTATTATAGCGATAATCTTTGCTTGTATGTATTGGATTGCATTGGATATATGCAACACCCAAAAGGACTTGAGATAGACTGACCCTTTATTGCACCAATCGGTTCAGAGTAATCGATCTTAGCTTGTCTGCCTGTCTGACTGTCCGTCCGCACAGAAAGCAATTTTTAAGATTATTTTGGTGAAATTTGGTTTGGATCACTTCCCATATAAAGCTTTATTTTTAAAACACGTTATTTGAGTAACTGCAGAGTGGCGTAGGATGTTTAATGATGGCCTTTGGTCCACTGCTGATGGCTTTCATACCATCTAGACTAAAAGAAAAAAAAATGTTAAGCACCAGCGAGGGCTCCATTTTAGAAACGAAAATTAGATGTCGAGCTTAATAGTTTTAATGAACTAATATACTAAACGGTCCAGTATGTCCATAGGGTTAGTGGTTCTGAAAACGATTCTTCCAATATAGTAAAAGTTTGGCCAGTTTAAGCAGATTGGAGAAAACGATTTCTGAAGGTTAAAGTCAATTGTCGGAAAATTTTGTAATCTCCACATTTTCAATATTAGTCGGACATAAAGGAGGAATTAGTTGAGAACTAACGGAGGAGTAATGTTGATTGTGATTCGCTTTCGTTATAATCTTTTTAACTTTGGTTCCAATCCAACTTTTCCATAATATCGTCTAGACGCGTCAAACGCAGAAGCAGCAGACTTCATCACGCGATCTGCTTGCTTATTTCGGAAGGGATTCCGGATAGCTCTTCACAAAGACATTCAATAATGATTTTGATTGGTGCAAAGAAGCAACGCATTATTATTAACATATGTTATTAAGTGAAAGGCTGTTATTAGTACATTGTAGATGACAGAATTTCAAATCCAATATTCAATATTTAACAATACGAAAAAACACGCAAATCTCTGCTTTATTTCACTAAGCTTTTCGTTTTCAGCTCTTCGGCATTTTTAAGTAAAGCTCTGGCTTCGATGTAAAGAAATTTTTTAGAAAAGAAATAATTATCAGTCCTTGTTTAATTCTGATTCCACTAATGGGCGTATTGAGTCATTTTTTTAATTGTGCGCCGGTTCTGCTGTTCAAATTATTGTAGTGAGTAATGGTTGAAATCTCGGTTTACCATACCTACAGGGCAGGACTGTCCGATTTACTATACTTATGTTTATATTTGCAAAAATGCATCAAGCAAGGTTCGAAAAAAATTTCTGGGGTATGAGACGTATGATCTCCAAAACTGACTCAAATCAACTCAAATTTTTTATCTCAATTTTTACAAGAATAAACAGATATCAGATGTCGGTGAATTGCCACCCTTACGCTAGCTCTGGTTCATGTCTGTTATTATTACTATTATATATCTGATATATTAAAAAATATAATTTATCTGAGTCGTATATCTCGATGGTTCCTTTTATTTCCGCAAGCTTTTAAGTAGCGTTACATATATATACGCTTTTGTTTCCTAAATACCCGCCTAATATGAGCGGACAAACACCGCCTAAGGTCACTAACGCAGGCTAATATCTAAAAAGGCTTTGAATCTTGAATGTTGCAACCGGAATAAGGAAATGGGTACACTTCTGTTCTACAAAGGTTAGCACAACATGGAATTTTGTAAAAAAAGAGCATTACTATGAGCACAGCTGGTGATTTAAAAAACTATAACATTTTTACAAAACATGAAAAGAGAAAATTTATTTGATAATATTTTTGTTTGTTTTTTCTTTTTTTTGGTGTTTATTTTGTTTTCTAGCTACCTATTTCCCATGCCATGAACTTTTCCTTAAATTCGTGAAGATAAGCGGGACTGATACCTATGCAGTGCACTGCATGTATGTACAATTTTACGAGAAACATGACAAAATGAATAATATTATGAATGCAATGTAACTTGTCTCATATATGTACAAGTGCAAGTACATCGTCAATAGTGAGTGAAAAAAGAAATAAATAGATTAAGGGAAAGAAATAAGGCATCAGCGTCTCAATTGTTACATTTTATGCGAAAAATTCAGGTATGCATATAAATTAGTATTTGGATTTGGAAAAGATTACCAACAACAACAATCGGAAATACATCTCACATTGATAACTGAACATGCACCATGTTCTTGTTTATCAAAATCAATACTGAACAGGTATGTATTCGCCGTTTGTCTGATTATGTTTGCCATTTTAGAACTAATCATTTCATTTAATCAAATTTCATTAAAATATGTTATAGTAAACTAAACACACACTTATAGTATAGTACAGTTCGCATCTGCATATGCATCTACACAATGCATCTTTAATACTGTGCACCTCTAGTATTACCCCTTTGTAAAAGCATTCGTTAATCGAAACATGGCCACACTGAGCTAAGGGTGCATAGTAGGGTAGTAGCAGGAGTAGTAGGACTAGTTTGATTTGTGACGGAACTGGAGACTACGATATCAGTACGATACAGTATTAGGAGACAGTAACGTGGAATAGAAATGGAATGGAAAACAAACACATTAAAGAATAAGTAAGTTTGCGCTGAAGAGACAACCGCTTTTGTCCCCATTTAGAAAAGCAGCAAAATAATTCTTAAATCGAATGAGTTTAGTATGAACTTAATAGATATCTTTAAACGCATCCTGTGCGAACATTTGACGCTTCCTTCCTAAGACAGATGTACAGAGTGCGTTTGTTAATAGTAACAATGAATCTGAGCTAACATGAAATTAATTATAATCAAGGAAACATGTAGCATAAATCTAAAAAATGCGAGTGATGCTAACATTTTGTGTGAAAAGTAACTGCGTGAATTATGAAATACTAATGCCACAAATTGGACAATTTTTTGTACTTATGTCTCATGCGAAAATCAATTAGGTGACGTTCATTAGCTAGCAAGCAAGTTAATCGTATGGAAATTTCTTCGTATTCGGAAACCTTATTTTTAAAGCCGTTTACGTCCGTGAGAAGATCACTCTTTGTCACCCTAGTCAATTTCGCTATTTCTGTCAAGATATGGATGGCTAATATGGCAACTAAGCCGATGAAACGCTACGAAAAGAAAGCCTTTTACTTGATATAAGAAATCCTATTATAAGGTGCTTGCATGTATTTTAATCAATTTCTTACTTGCAAAAGGCATTTATTGGGAAAAATTGGTACAATATATATCCAATCAAAATGTATTCAGTCATTTTCTCTTTTTTTCATTTTTATGGCCTAAGCATGCGCTAAGATTTTAAAATGTTTCTGGCATGGTGTCGAGAGAACGACATTGGTTTGGTAGCGATCCTAATATCGACCCATTGTGTCACTTCTTCAGAATTTCTAAACTACGTGCCAGCCAAGTCATGGTACATCGATCTGAACAAGTGGTACTCAGAAGGCGCTATGTCCGCTGAGCACGCCGTGTGCGGCAGAACTTCCTATGCGAGCTGCAACAGTGTATCCGTTGCGTCTATTAGCCGCTATTGCTGATCTTTTTTGCAAAAACACATCGTTCAACCTGCTCCATGCAAGTCGCTCTGTAAACCTCTGTAGTAACTGAGAATTTAAACTTTGCGCACATTGATACTTCGCATTATATTATCATTTTCAGCAATAGTTGCCGCTGATCAAAATAAATGCAAGCACCTATTATTATTAGTACTACTACGTTTTTCTTAGACTATAGTGAATGAATTTTAGGACTAAGGTGAGAAGAGAAGATGAGAAATGTGCTTAGATATATTGCTCAACAATCCAAAAAGTTTTCTAGTCAGTTGATGATTTTTTTTTGGCGTTGCTTCTCAGTGATTGAGAGCTTATTGAAATTCTATCTAGAGATTATCTTAATTTAACTGAGGGGTAATTATATGTAATAAGGCTGTGGAATACTTTTTCATATACTTTTTCCTTTTTTTACTACTATTTCTATCCAATTATAAATTTGATAGAGTGAGACCTGTTGGTCTTTTTTAGCGCTTGTCGTGATGATGGATATCATTTTTCTCTTTAGCACATTTTCCGCAAGAATTCATTAAACATTTTGCATTTCTCTTCCATTGCTGCAATGCATAAAACACATGCTAAGGTTAACTTTAAAATGACAACCATAATATAATGATGGTGTTTATGTTGTATCAACATAATATCTTCTTATATACTTATAAACATATTTCTTTTTTGTTTGTATGAGAGTTTTTCTATGTGTAAACATGGAGCGACAATATCATTGACAGTATATCCTTATTATGTATTCAAAAGTTTGTTATTGTATGCAACACATACATATATCACAGTGTGCACATATGCACACGTGAACTTACTTACACATTAGTATATAAAGTTTACAATGCATGCATGTATATATATAGAGATATATATATATATGTATATGAAAGTGAAGATACAGAGACAGAGAGAAAAAATCATAAATTAACAGCAACGTCAGCTGTAAAATTGTGTAAGTTACTTCTTCCTGTACTTGAGGATGAGAAGTAAAGTGTG